CTTGGGAATGTACTAAAAGAATCAAGAATATTTGATAGGTAAGTTGCTAATTACTTTATTTTGATATATGTATATACGAAATATTTATCATTAAGATTTGATAATTGTTAGCTCACATTTAAATTTAAAAAAATATTTAAAGTTTAAATGTATTATTTTGGTTGCTAATTAAAAGCTGAGTGAAGTCTGATGTATAAAAGTCAACTCCGATATTAACTAATTTGTCATAATGTTATAAACTTATGTTTGTTAACTTGGTATTCTGTAACTAGTGAGACTTTTGGTCTCAAATTGATTGTTAATGAACAGTATAAGAGAATAGGTGATCATTGTGGAAGGGTGTTAATTGATTGATATATGGTTCTATAAATATTAATTTAACTTAAGTATATTGTTGTCTTCAATAATACTAAAAAATAAAGCCTAATTTATTTTAATAATTATATTTAGATTTTTTGGTATAATTTATTTTGGATAAAACAAAACAATATATAAAAGTGTTGGGTCTTTTAGAATTACCATAAGAAAAACAAAATTAATTTATAAACCTTCCCGAAAAAATTCAATTAATTTAATTTTTGATATTTAAATTTTAAGCTATCTCAATTTTAAATAAAGAAAATCTATGTATGCATTGTACAACACTATTCCTATATCTCAACGGGTTCTCTTAAAAATGAAAACAATTTTTCTAGTCATAATTTATAATGGCGTTTGATATTTTAAATTATATTTATTAATTAATTTATGTTTCCCAAAAATCAGACAAATTGCATTTAGACTTACCTTTGCACCAGGGTATATTGATGGTAAATGAGACTCATTTATGGTATTAGGATAATCTTCTAATATTGTAAACCAGCGGGACGAAAATATGATAGTTGGATACCTACATATTAGTTACCTGTAAGATTTCTGCAGGAAAGTTCTTCCACTCCATTAGTAATGAGTAATGACTAATTAATTAATGTTATTGTAGTGACCAAATTGCTTGGAACCTACAAAAAATTATTACATAAAGTAAACTAATAATAATAATTTAACATTATTACGTTTTAAAAACTATAGGTTATTTTAAATATAAAAACATGATATGTTATATGTAATATGTATAATGTACAAATATAATTGTTATTAAACCGTACAAGAATCTTCTTTGTTAAATAAAATACACGTTTAGATGGTAGATCTATTTTAAATTATAACTGTCTAGCGTCTACTTAATTAAAAACAAATCCATAATTCTAAATAAGAAAACTAAAATAAAAACTTTTCTATTATTTTTAATTAAATAAAAACAATAATGAAAATTTTTATTTTAAAAACAAATTAATTTTAAAATACATTTTTTATCTGTATCTACATAATATCCTTTATACAATTCACAAAGATGTAAATTGTATATAATGAATTTATTGACAATTATTTTTTTTGTTATACATTTTATTTCAGTGCTTTATCAATCAGTGAAAAACTAAATTCCAATTTTTACGTAAATGTATTGTTATTTTAAATGCATGTATTTTGGAAACCCCTGTTGAACATTTGGCCGTTACCATAGTAACTACGGGCATTACAGGCTCTACCCGTAATAAACTGTATGTCTACCGGTTTTTGTGTAAATATAATATAATATTATAATACTGATGACTAGCAATCTGTCCAATTCTACGGAAATCCTATATTATATAATTAATATGCATACAGCGTTATGTGCCTATTTATTCGTATTATTTCTTTAGAGTTTCTAAAATTTGTTTTAAGCTCAATTTTATAATATACAAAATATATATTGATAATTTACGGTTAAATTAAATATTGAAAAATAAATTAATGAAATTACAAGTTCACATCATACCTCCTCACATAAATGACTGTATTTATAAAGGTTTACCTAGTAAAATAAAATTGTTGTATACATTAAAATATATATTATATTTTATGTTATTTCTTGTATTTCGAAAGTTAATTAATTGTATTATATTATTTTCGTACATTATACTTCCATAAACTTCTTTTATTAGTTTCGTTAATTAATAAACGTAACAATTAGAAAAGTAGAAAGGTAATTAGAACACCAGATTCTGTTGTTTTTTTTGTTTCTTGTTTAAATGAAAATTTGAGTCAGTTGAATTCAACCAGCCGAAAAAGCTTAATTATATACGAAATGTAAGATTTTTCCTTTTTTTAATTACAATTTTTTTTTTTTTTTTTTGTTGAATGTGTAAATTAAACTTCTGTTATTTTTTCAAACTTTCAAAATATCAAATAATTGTTTATCATTTTGTTTCAAATACGGTTAACTGGAGTGTTCTGTTGGTATCGGTTGGTATTAACTTGTTTTTTTTTTCAAATGTGATTACCTTTTATTTTTTCCCGCAATACATTTTTATGTTTATGATCGAAATTCGAATGAGTATAGTTTTTGAGTTTTAACTTTGTGTACCTACTGGCTACTAAGGATATTTACAATGGTTTGGAAGATAATAATATGAGGAGTATAATTCTTTTAAAATTAATCTATTAACATTTTATAATTTGTAAAACCTTAATAAATATAACACTTTTTTTAAATTTTTTAAAACCATTTTTCAGGACTTATTCTTAGAATATATATATTTTAACAACTTAGAATCGTTTGAGTTTTAATTTAGATAAATCATCACTTAGAAAAAATATCATCTGCGTAAAACTATAGCAAAATTGGTTGGGTCTCATTTAATATGTGTGTTGCCACAAACAATACTCTTTCGAATTGTATAAAAATCTAAATTTTTGATTTTATGGTCCTTAATTATTTTACATAAAAAATCCAAACACTAGAGTTTGAATAAACTCATTTTAAAAGGGAAAGTAGGAGTGTGCAATGAGCATGGTTGGTGAATTATCCTGTAGACTGTGTAGGTAAATCGGGTATATTTACTTTATAAGTATGATGATTATTTAGTAATGCTTAATTCTGGGATAACGAAGTTTCTATTATTTATCTCCAAAACAGCTGCGGTCATCGAGTCGTCCCATACAATATTATATTATGGTTCCGGTATAGAATGAGTACGGATTACTATCACAATCGACGGTCTTATTAGTTTATAATTTCTAGTTTAATTTCAGTCCAATAGTTTTGCTATAAGATTAGAATTATTTATGTAAATACCTCTGTTAAAATATTAAGGAAGTCTTAATTTTCTATGAAGTGTTCTCACGAAAGAAATGAAATTCTGTCCATTTTTTAGTTAGCAGTATCACTAACTTAAATAGTATTGTTGAATTAAATTATTGTTGTATAGGTCAATAGTATAACTTTAATACTACTAATATTGACTTAAAATAGTTCATTTATCATAGAAAGAACTCTTAAAAATATAGAAAAATATTATTAGTGTGAGGGTACTTCACTAGTTACAACTTACAAGAACAGAAGACTTAAATTGTAGGTATATATAATATAAGTAGTATTTGATCTTAGGTGTCCACTGTGGCACTCCATATATTATATATTTTCTGTAGTTATTTCATATCTGAATAAATTCTAATTTCTAAATATTATGTATGTTTAAATTTGTATTTATAATAATATTTCAAATTTGAATCTTGATGATATGACAATGTGGCATTGTACAATTTAGTTTTATTAATTAATACAATTTAATAGCGATAATGCGATATAATAAGTAAAGTACTATTTAAATATCCGATATTTTTACCTAAATGTGTCGAAACATAAATTCGTTTAGACACGATTGTACCTATATATTATTATATTATACTCGTAAATACAATACGATTGTCGTTTCGCCAAAGGCAATGGTGGGTAATTATTTATATTTGGAATTGCGCTTGCGTTGTCGGTAACTTGTCAGTCTTAAATGGCGTTCGAGATGAACGAGGTTACTGTTTTACGTCGTTATCTTGGGCGTTTATCCACCCCTAATCCCCAATCCTTAAATAGTAATTTAAAAAAAATTCCATTACAACGAACTGGTGCATATTATATTTTTGTTTATCGCCCGTGCAATCTTACTATAATAATAACACGCTCGTATACGTAGGTTATACGATATTATAATATTGTTTTATCTACTGCACATAATTCGAAACGTGCTGCGTGAAATGCTTTTCTATGTAGGTAGGCTTTCCTACAGCGACTGCGGGCTTCCTACGAATAACGGTAGATTTTTTTTTTATAGACTTCGGGGGTTTATATAGCTGTGTAAAATGCGGATTTTGCTTATTCTATAATATTTTTCAATAATATAAATCATCGGGACAAACAGGGATTGGTGACGAAGGCTGCGTCAACGATAAAAATGATAAATATATTTTACTATTATATACTATACACCAATCGAATCGAGGGGTTGATGAGTGGAATGGGTGAGTGAGTGCTGAGAGAAAAAAAATCGCGACCAGAGATCGAACCGTTCTGTCCACCGCCTCGAGCACCGTGTCGAACCCTCCTCGCGAGATGAGCGTGCAGCTTTACGTCCCCGATGCGTATATAATATAGGTATTTTGCGACATTGCCATGGCGACCGCGGCGCGGCTGAGGACGGCGCGCCACAGTCGCCAGCCGCCTGTTGCTCTGCGTCGCGCGCGCTGGCGCTCATGCCTTGTTGTACGGGGGAGCGGGCAGAGCGAAGGCGGAGGTACGCCATATTATAGCGAAGTCGGCGCCGTCTGTCCGTGTCGCCGCTGCAGTCGTGAGTCGCGTTCGCCGCGCGTTTTTCATACGCTCGCGGCGGCGGCGACCGCGCGCGTACGATAGCCGACCCCCACGCGTGACTTCGGCAGAGTGGCCGACGGCCAACGTCGTCCGCGGCCACTTTTGGCGAGTATTTTAATATCATATATCTATATAGTAGTTTGAAGACCGCGTGTACGTCACTTCTCCCCCCCCTCCCCTCTAATCGCCCGTCCACCAATCACCGATCATCGTGGTGCAAGTCCGTTGCAGTATACTTCGCCGTGGCAAATCTCATACCGTGGTATAGTGTGCAATGGACTACCAGTGCATCGTCGTGTACACCATCATAACGATATTGCCGCCCGATGAGCAGCGCAGGTACGACGAGTCGCGGTTTTCCGCTGCTCTCCGGGACGGCCCGGCCGACGGATGTCTGGGCGTCGTTAAACGGTGGATGAAAAGGTACACGGCGTCATCATATAATATAATAACAAACCCATTAATCACCTTTGGTGGGATTGGGTGCGTGTTGGGGATTTTTGCCGAAGAAAGAACGTTCGCACACGACGAAAATGCATTAATTGTAAAAATCTGTATTGTCCATGCACATTTCTTTATTCAGTATTATATTGTTACCTATTCTTTCAATCAACAATAAATAAAACTACATTTAGTTTTATCAGGTAAAATGTGCTATAATATTCCGGAACAAGAAGGTTTGGGTATTAACTATTAATATAGTTGCCGATTAGTGGTTATAATTTTGGCTCCCGTTTTCCCTGTTCTAGAAATCCTGTCTATATAATATAATATTGTCCTTCCGTTGCCATAATATAATATTAAGTGCAGGATAGGCATACTTAGGATAGTTACTATCTATTATGCACCAGTGTAAGCTGTGCGTTAGTTATTCTGAATTAATATAAAAACCTTCCTCCCCTAAACAAAATAATACTTTTTTCTATTCCCCGATTACACCCTCTCCCAATTGAAAGATTAGCTAGCTACGCCTTGATGGCTTGAAGACTGCAAGGATCAAGGACTGAGGAGACGTATACCGCGAGATAATAATATTAAAACCGTCAACATATTCTATATATTATAGTGTACGCATTGCGCTGTTCGGTCAAAGGTCCAATCGGTTTTAGTGGTGGTAGATCTGCCTCAGGCTTGACAAATTAAACTGCAAACCGAAGAACGCCGAGAAAATTTAATTATATTGCGATTTTAATTTCCTCGGCTCGACCTGTCGTTGCTCTTCGAACCGTGGAAAGAATGGAATTGATTTCTCTTTGAAGGGTTTCGCCTAGTCGCCAGTGCACAGGCGAAGGACCTATACACTTGAACACACACACACTCACACGCATTTACTGTTTATTATACCTTTGGCGTCGTTGGTCTTTTGTCCCGAGGGAAAAGCCCCCCGCTGGAGGAGTAGTAGGGCCATTGCTATGTAGTAGTTGTTGTGTCAGTGACATTAACGATCCCTGCCGCCGCCGTACGTGGTCATCTTCGTCGAACCTTCGTGCGTGCATGCACGTGCGTCCCGTTTCCCAACAATATTGCGCGTCGCATCGCCTGCCACCGTTTTTATATTATATTGTATTTTTACACAAGATAATAGGTATGTATATAATATAATCTATATGTGTACGAAAGCAATCATTTTCGATATTAACTTTCCGTTCGCAAAATTAATGTATTAATATATCCAGAGGAGTTTCACCGTGAACCTTGATATACACCCCCTGCAGCTTTAAGGGGTATTGTATGTATAGTATGGTGCGGTGGCGGTGGAATTTTCGCGTGTAACTTCCGATTAATAGATTAAAACTTTAAATAGAAAATAGCGGCGGCGCACGGCGTGTTCTTGTTTACTGTTTTATTCAAGACTTGTGCAGGATGCCAGGATCAAAAGTTTTAAAACCCATGCATTTATAATTATATATACATCCGTAAAATAAGCATAATATTAATTTAGTTGAGTCACTCTCTCGCCGTAGTAACGTTTTAAATTTCGCCAACTGCCTGGATTCGTGCCAAGATTTTATCTAAATATAAACTTTTTGGAAAACGTTATTAATCTTTTTTGAAGATGTATCTACATAATATCATAAGAGTACCTACTGAGTCGTAATGTGTATAAAAGTTAGGCCAAGGTTATGTAATTTTTCGCGTATGCTGCAGAAGTATTTTTATTCGTGATGTGACCGTTCTACAGAAAAGTATATAGTATTAGCCTTTATATATTGCCTAAAAGGATTACATCAACTTCGTATTAAACTCCTATTATAACGCTTGTCCTGCTTCCAAACAACAATGACAATTTAAACAGAATTAACGTCATATTATAATTAATGTGCTCCTCCACGCAATTGTTTTACAAATATCAATACATGCATAATATATCTATGGTATACGTATTTCGTTGTATAACGTCGTTTTTTGTTGTTTACTTTCTAAAACACACATCCCTGGATTTCAATCTCTTTCCTTTGGCTTTTATTTTTGATTATTTATTCCAATTTTTAACATACTAGGTTTGTTAAATCCCGGAAATTTGAATTACTTTGGATTTTTAATCGAATATTATTAGTAGTTTATACACATGATTTATTTAATAGTTCCATTAAACACATTGTCCGTTTGTAATAATATAATGTATAAATTATAATCCATCAATTATTTTGTATTGTGTCTGTAAATATTATCTGTCATGTGCAAAATATGACTTGTTTAATGCATCACATTTCTTTCTTTCTATTCACAGTTTATAAATGAGAATAAAATATACATAATACTATATCTGAAGAACCCCCGAGAGAATAAATTAATATATGTATCGTACAATAATTTTTCAAACTGGCAGTCGGAAGGTCACGATGATGATTATCTTATTTCCATGTGCACGCGCGGTGTACAACAAAACATTTTATTGATTTATTGATTATTAATGATTTGGATAGACGGACCACTGAAATTTGTCGAATTTGTTCTAGGTAATTCATTCGTTGGTATTTTAAATTTAAATTTAAATAATAGTAGATTTTACTCAAAATACAAGTTGGTATACCTAATATGATATAAAATATATTATTGTACTACAGGTTTTAGATAATTTTCATGAGATTATTTCATGTTTTTAACACTAAATACCGCCCAATTTTTTGATACAAGCATCACTGCAGTGTTGTTCTTCCATATCATTAGTTATTAGTGTTAGTTATTACATATTAGGAGGTACTAATATTCTTAAATGTATAATTTAGGATTATTCTATCGAGCAGTAAGTGTCAAAAGTATAAAGTTGAGTATGAATCAGTGGCGTACGCAAGGGTAGGGTTCTGATCCCCCATAAAATTAATTTTTTCTACAAAATAATCATATTCTCCAACATTTTGATACAAACAGATGAATTGGTGGTCGTTTTTAATATATGTATATAAAACAAATTTTTGAATATGACAAAGACGTCGATAATCATAGATTCAGTTTTTTTTTTTGACTGATTTAGAACATTGCTAAAGGTCTGCCATAATCGATGGTGTATCATCGTACATCGATTATTACCAAGTTTATTACTGCCCGAAGAGGCGCTATAGATGACCCGGTTAAACATTGTAAATGTAGACTGAATTTAAGATAACTACAATTTGTTATATAAAAACTGTTGAGAAAAAAATAATGTAAATTATTTACTCAGGTAAAACCCTAACCGAACTCAAGTCCTGCGTACGTTACTGGTACGAATATAGGCAGTTTATTAAATAATCATTAATATTTTTCAATTCCAACATACTCGTAATCTTTTTTTATAATAATATCAAAAAATACATTTTGTTAATTTTAAAAATCATTCAGTTATCTGATATCAGCATTTCAACTTCTACCGACTACCATTGAAGAGCAATAGAGACAAACCCTTCGAATAAAGTCCGTTATATATATTACTATAATATGTATTATTATTTTAATTTGTGTTTCGCAATATATTCACCATCGATGTAATCTGTGATACTATAATATAACAGTCCATTATATTAAACTATATACTATATTATAATATCATATTCTTTTAGTAGTTTAACTGTATAAGATATTTTCTATAAAGTATAAACTGTATACGATTACGATAACGAAGCTTTTTATTATTATAAAATATTGACATCAAGTCATATCCTTTTTCTATAATCATGGTCATTGTGTTATTATACATATAAAGTTTTACGTTTCATTATTAAAGTTCAATTTTCACGAGGATTTTACTAGTAGATACTAATATACCTAACTAAACAACATGAGCTCATGAATACTGAACAATATTTTGCATCAAATAATGCTGTAGAAAACTAACAGTTTGTATGCTTAGGACATTTTATTATTTTCGTCCGTTCTTTCCATTCTTTGTACAATACATTTACAATCTTGTTAACCGTTTCAATATTTGTAATATTCGATATAGGTATCTTTTTATTTTTTTATTTTTTTCCAGTAAAAATATTATCCAAAACGTAAATGTGTGTACTGGATGCCACCTATAGGTTTTCGTGTAAAAACGAACTTAAATCCATAACAAATCCGTAACATTGTCATAAATTCGTTCGTGTTTTCAATGAGATGGCGTGTTTTTCGAACTAAACAAAAACATTTCAATTATAATAGGTACATTTATAGATAAGTAGATAACTGTATTATAATACGCAAGACGCTATTCGTGTTTACGAATCGATATAATGTAGCTTTAAGTTATTTTTTTAACTGTTGGAGTTGTATAAGAAATTTCCTTATTTTTTCCTTATTAACCCCCCCCCAGCAGTTGATTGTCGTTTGTTGATTTCATAATAGTTTATTATTTTAAACTTTTACCTTACTTATAATTGGACTTCTTAAATTGTATTATATTTAAATATAATATTTTGTGATATTTCTGTAATAATCTGATAGCAATATATTACTATAAATATATTTTGTATTTATTTGGTTACTCAAATTTACTGAACTTGTATAATATACATTATTATTTTTCTATAACTTATTTAGAAATAATACACTGTGTTTGTGTGCTAAAATATGCTTTATTTGTGCTGTTTACCTCAGCTGTTAGTTTATATGCGAGTATGCCGTATGCGAATATAAAGTAAATAAAATACTTAACATTTTTATTTAACATAAAGTTCAAGTATAATGTTGAATACATATTTTAAACATTGAATACGAACAAATATTATATCAAGTATTGGCTAGGATGATTTGAAAACAAATCAAAAAAGAGTTCTGTATATAGTGTCAATCATAAGTCGATAAACCGAATATCCATCAATTACTTAGAAATATAAAATAGGTAATACAAACAAGTTTAATTTGAAAATACGTTTGACTTAAATGTAATCGGGAGGAAATTACCAAGAATGTTTATTTAATTAAAATTAAATAACTAAGCGTATGAAAATAACTTTGAATTTACTTACAAAAAAACCTTCTTTCCTGGTGTAAATATTTATTAATACATATATTTACTATTTACTTATCGATTCTTACTTCTCCAGTGTGACAATGCGTTTGAGTAACATTTTATATTTTATTTATACATTGTTGATCAATACTTTTATTTAGTGTGATATTGTATTTTTAAAAATATTCCATTACAATAATTGTATTTGATAAATTAAATTTTATTACAATTTTATTTTGAATTAGTAGTACAACAAATTTCTTTGACTTAAAACCTAAACTATACATTAATCGTACCAAATGTATATCATTAACATCATAAATAATTATGCAAATTTCTACAGTTAATAATTTATAAGTCTAAAATTCGTAATCTAAATAGCTAATAAAATAATAATATTGCAATGGGCCTATTTTTGATATTGATTCCATATAGTTACGTCTCTTATATATCTTTTTGAAATGTATGATTTATAACGTCTATACATCTATTTTGATATAGGTATCGTCCAAATCTTCTAAATTGTTGTCATGAGATATAAATTTGTAGGTTAAATTGTTTAAAAAAATCTAAGCAATGTTAATTTATTAATAATTACCTACTGAGGGGTAATGAATATTAGTTACTCTTTATAAATCATACTTCCCCGCAGGCTATGCTGCAGTACCTGAATGTTAATTCTACAAGTTTTGCTAATTCAATTAATTTCATCTCAAAGTAATAATAAATTCTATTTAGGTGTGGTTAATATAATATTATTCCGTGAAAGTATATGTATAAATGTATAATAATATAATATGCTATTTTATATAGTTTATATCATACATATTATAAGAATACAGACTGCGTCCGTATAATTTTATTCCGAACTCCGAACCTTTGCTTTAGGCTTAATGCAATTTTTGAAGTCTGTGGTAAACATAACACAAATTATAGTAAGAACGATTTCATATAAAATATTTTAAACATGAAAGCACCTATAATGAGTTCAATGTTTGGGAACGGAGTGACTTAAAAAATAAAATAGGTAACTAAAAGAAGAATAGTTATTATTTTTAGTCGACTATTTTGTTATTTCTTTTAACCTTTTTACTTTAACACTGCAGCCGTTGAATGTGTATCGTTCACGATACTACGCGTGCTTCGCTTCTCGACGTTTCGTCTTTTCCGATGAATTTATCGACGTTATATCATATGATCGGATGAAATTAAATTCGCGCTGTTTGTCGTCTTCGGTGGGGTAATATCGACCCTCTCGAGAGACTATGTATATATAAGTATATAACCTATATAGACCTACACAACAGCAGCGTGTGCACGACGGCTGGGAATTCTGTTCCTGACAATCGAGACTCGCACGCATAAATGCACAATATACAATATTATTACACACCGACAACAATATACCGCCCCTGTTCGGCCCGTCAACTAAATTATATATGAAATCGTTGTCGTTCGGCTATATTAAGCTCGGCAGCTTTTGTTTAAAGGGATGGGAAATCACCGTCGTCTTTTCAGGCCAGGAAAATTAAACTTCGCGTGTCGTCGCAAAACTGTACTGGATTTATACACCACGTTATTATTCACCATAGTCCATAATATTAAGTATTCACACATGCGGACGCGGTATAGTACGCATAATATATTTATATATGGAGTGATCCGTTTGAGCGACCGCTCTTGTATATTTGATTATGATTACTGAAGTGAATTACTCTGTATGATACGGACTGTACGTATGCGGACATGGTAAACTAGTGGTACGAGTGTGTTACATTGTTTAAACCCCTCCTCTACGGGGGTAATACGAACGACTCTTTCCGATGGGCTGTGGACACATAGATAACGAAACGATCAAGAGAATAGAATCATATTGTAACGTAATAAAGATTATTTAGACTTACGACTTACTTATAGCCTATATAGGTCGCTTTCCTTCTAAAATATCTAGTAGACAATCGAAGTGCGTGTGTTCGGTGTTACTTATTTTTAGTTTCCTTCTCGTTTTAAAATTCATATTTACTTTTTTTTCATTGTGTCACCGCAAAATTGATATCTTTTGGTATGAATGATTTATGATATTCAAAGAAAAATAGAACTGGTATCAGGGTCAAAGTGTTTTTGTGTCTGTGTAATTTTTGTTTTCGTTCGAGAAGTTAATTTAATTTATCCCAACGTCAATATTATATATTATATAACATTTTGTGTGTGTTGCGTTTTTTACTTTGTGGATTCATGAAGTTTCGCATTCGTACGTTCAAATTGTTTTAAATTCAAATTGTAGATGATTAAATGTTATAACTACCACATTGTGATTAAATTATATTGAAACATCTTTTAACTGCTTCATCTACAAGGTCCTGAATGTAAACTTTGTTTCAGGTCTGTATCTGCTTATCTTCGGGCACTGGCATTGAGCCCAACCAACGCTGTTGTGCATGGGAATTTGGCTTGTGTTTATTATGAACAGGGGTGAGTTAAACTAAAAATTTGTTTATTTCTCAAAAATTACATTTTTATTTATTTTTTTTATTATTATTTAGACTTATCGATTTAGCTATTGATACATATCGCCGTGCTATAGAGCTACAACCCAACTTCCCCGATGCCTATTGCAATTTGGCCAATGCTTTAAAAGAAAAAGGACAGGTATGTTAGAAAATTTTTTCTAAGTTTTTAGTGCCTTGATTATTAATAATAATTGTATTACAACCTATGTATAAAATAACCTAACATAATAATTTATTATATTATTTACTGTAGGTTGTAGATGCTGAAGAATGCTACAATACAGCTTTGAAGTTATGTCCAACACACGCAGATTCTCTGAACAATTTGGCCAATATAAAACGAGAACAAGGTTACATAGAAGAGGCGACTGGTCTGTATTTGAAAGCTCTGGAAGTTTTCCCCGAATTTGCTGCCGCTCATTCCAATTTGGCTTCTGTTCTTCAGCAACAAGGCAAATTAACCGAAGCCTTAAACCACTATCAAGAAGCTATTCGTATTCAGCCTACGTTTGCAGATGCCTACTCAAACATGGGAAACACTCTCAAAGAGATGCAAGATATACAGAATGCTCTACAATGTTATTCAAGAGCTATACAGATTAACCCAGCATTTGCTGATGCTCACAGTAATTTAGCTTCTATTCACAAAGATTCTGGAAATATACCAGAAGCTATTGCCTCCTATAGAACTGCTTTGAGACTAAAACCAGACTTTCCTGATGCCTATTGCAATCTAGCGCACTGCTTACAAATCGTGTGTGACTGGACTGATTATGAATCTCGCATGAAGAAATTGGTTAGCATTGTTGCTGAACAATTAGAAAAAAACCGTCTGCCTTCTGTCCATCCTCATCATTCTATGCTGTACCCATTATCACACAACTTCCGAAAGGCAATTGCCGGAAGACATGCTGCACTGTGTTTGGAAAAAATTCAAGTCTTGCATAAACCTCCATACAAGTATACTAAAGATTTGGCTCCTGGCAATCGCTTACGTATTGGATACGTGTCATCAGATTTTGGAAATCACCCTACTTCACATTTAATGCAATCTATACCAGGTCTCCACAACAAAGAAAAAGTTGAAATATTCTGTTACGCTTTATCAACAGATGATACTACTACGTTCAGATCAAAAATCGCTAGAGAAGCCGAACATTTTATCGATTTATCAAATGTAAGAATTCGATTGAACTACATTAATTCTATTTTTTGTGCTTACATAATGTTCAATGTTCAAATGTATTTACCATATTTTTCTATTATAGATACCTTGTAATGGAAAAGCTGCTGATAAGATAAATAGTGACGGTATTCATATTTTAGTGAATATGAATGGATATACAAAAGGTGCAAGAAATGAAATATTTGCTCTGCGTCCTGCTCCAATCCAAGTAAATTGATTTAATGATATTAGATTTATTAAATTAAATTGTATAGGATAAGAGTATATTATGTGTACATTATGTGACTACTATTATATTAAATTCATTTTTAGGTCATGTGGCTTGGATATCCCGGCACGAGTGGTGCTCCCTTCATGGACTACTTAATTACGGATATGGTTACATCACCTATTGAACTTGCATCACAGTACAGTGAGAAATTGGCTTACATGCCACATACATATTTTGTTGGTGATCACAGACAAATGTTCCCTCACTTGAGTGAGCGAATCATTTTATGTGATAAGGTGACCTGCAGAAAAGATATGGCGGACAATGTGGCCGTCATAAATGCTGCAGATTTATCGCCAATTATTGAAAATACTAATGTAACAGAAATAAAACAAGTTATCATGTCTGAACTAACAGATTCAAAACAGACTAGACCCGTTGAGGTTAATTTTAAATTTGCTGAATTGCCAACTACTACACCTATTGAAGTACTTTAAATTTAAAATAAACTAGTGAAGTGTTTTATTTAACATGTGTTTAATTTCCAGACTATGATTGCTTCTGGACAAGCACAAACTTCAGTAAACGGAGTTGTATTACAAAATGGATTAGCGGTAGTAGACAATGGCAATAACAAAACAGCCACAGGAGAAGAAGTACCCCAAAATATTGTTATTACTTCACGCCAGCAGTATTCTTTGCCTGAAGACGCCGTAGTCTATTGCAATTTCAATCAATTGTACAAAATAGATCCAAACACTCTTCTTATGTGGGTTAATGTAAGGAGGATATTTATTTATTTTAATTTTATACAATTTGTTCTGTATTTAAAAATGTATTTTGTGTTTAGATCTTAAAAGCTGTGCCCAATTCTGTATTATGGTTGTTGCGTTTCCCAGCAGTTGGTGAAACCCATATTCAGAGCACAGCTGCTAGTTTGGGCATTGAACCAGGCCGTATATTGTTTAGTAATGTTGCTGCTAAAGAAGAACATGTACGTAGGGGACAATTAGCTGATGTATGCTTAGACACTCCTCTCTGTAATGGCCATACTACCAGTATGGACGTGCTATGGACTGGCACACCAGTTGTCACCTTGCCAGGTATTATACATTGTCTTATATAGTTTTTTGATACATTTTTGATATTTTTATTTGTATAGGAGAGACATTGGCATCCAGAGTAGCTGCGTCACAACTGGCAACGCTTGGATGCCCTGAACTCATTGCACGGACTAGAGAGGAATATCAAGACATTGCTATCAGACTGGGAACTGATAAGGAATAGTGAGTGGTTTATTCATAAATATTGATGAATATAATATGATTATTTTATTTCTAATTATATTTTTAGTCTGAAAACTATGAGAGCAGAAGTCTGGCGAGCACGGTCTGAAAGTCCATTGTTTAATTGTTCAATATACACAAATGGTCTGGAAAGGCTGTACAGAGCAATGTGGGATAAGAATCACAATGGTGAAAAGCCTGATCATATACTTTCCCTAGAAAATTATTAAACATTTTGTGAGTATTAAAAATTTGGTTTTAAATAATTTAATTGTTGTGTCATTATTACTGTTAAATCAAATATGTTAATGATTAATAAGTAAAATCTCATTATCGATGCGAGAAGTGGACTGAAAAGTGAATGATTGGAATGCTGTTTTTATGAAATCTATTTGATTAATATGTGTATAAATGTATAATATTATAAGTAATTCATACAATTTTTTTTCGATCAGTAATAATATCTAGTAAAGGGTAACTAACAGTTTATTTCGGAAGTACTTTTTTATAATACTTAACCAAAATAAAAAAATATCAATGATTAAAAAACAATATTGATGCGAGAAGTGGATTGATTCCATGTGATTAAATGTATAACCATATGAGATAAATAAATAAATATAAGTAATAATGTATGTTATGTAAAATTAAATTTTTATACTAATCTACACATTGCTAATAATATATATTATATAGTATAGTAATAATTTAAGTTGTTATATATAGTTTCCAAAAATTTAAATTTTTTTTTGTTTTATAGTATGATTGAATTTAATACTTGTTCAATATATTAATGATTATCAAAAAAAATAATACATTTCGATGCGAGAAGTGGAATGATCAAATGTTGATTAGAAAATTGTATTATGAAATATATTGAATAATAATTCTGGTTTATTCAAACTTTTTTTTAGTAAATGTTTGTAAAGGTGTTATTTAATTCTATAATGTTGACAATTAAACATTGGCTGTACTTTATTCCTATGTTCAATACATTAATGATTATCATAAAAAAATACATTTCGATGCGAGAAGTGAAATGATAAATTGTTGATTATAATAATTGTATAATGAAATGTATTGAAAGTAATTTTTAAATACACAAACAGACAACAGTTAATGATTAATAACTTACAGCGATGCAAGTAGTGGAATGATAGTTTAAATGAATTATAATTACAATTATGAAATCTGCTTAATGTAGAAGAAACATTTTATACTCCTCTAAATGTTGTGTATTAATTATTTTTTTTTTTTATTTGATAGTCAGATAATTACCATGTTAGACTTATGTGTTAAATTATTGATGTTAATGTGTCATTAAATACTAAAAAGTTAGTTATTAAAGATTGTATGTACTATTTTGAGTTAAACCCTACTTTATTATTATGTTCAATACATTAATGATTATCATAAAAAAAAAAAAAAATACATTTCGATGCGAGAAGTGGAATGATAAATCCTTGATTTAAAATAATAGTATGATGAAATTTATTGAATAATAGTTCTGGTATACACAAACAGACAAGAGTTAAGGGGATTGGAAGCGGCGATTTTCTGTCTTTATCTAACACACGTGGAACATAGGATTATAGACGTGTTCTATGTCCAACGTACCGATTAATCTAATGAAGCGATAAGAATTCTGAAAACAGATTTGAATTTGTCGTCAAGTCTACTTGAGATCGACTTTCCCACATTTTTGATTTTTTGATTTAAACTTCTCCAAAAGTTGAAATTTGTAATTTTTTTAAGTACTTTTTATAATATATCATTTTTATGATTTTGGTGGGACAATATCAAAAATGTGGGAGAGTCGATCTCAAGTAGACTTGACGACAAATTCAAATCTGTTTTCAGAATTCTTATCGCTTCATTAGATTAATCGGTACGTTGGACATAGAACACGTCTATAATCCTATGTTCCACGTGTGTTAGATAAAGACAGAAAATCGCCGCTTCCAATCCCCTTAATGAGATTAATAACTTACGGCGATGCAAGTAGTGGAATGATAGTTAAAATTAATTATAATTACAATTATGAAATCTGTTTATTGTAAGTAACATTTATAATATTATATTCCTCTAAATTTCAACAAAAATTTAATTACATAATAATTATTTCTGTTTCATCCAATAAATATAAATAATTTATGTTATAAGTTTTATGTGTGTCAGTGATAGATGTTAGATTAAGGATTAATACTTTTTTTTTATGTTTATATTACCTACAATTAAAATGTTTCAGCATATTATGCATGCTATTACAAGTTATGGATTAATACTGAATTGTTGGTTACAACTTAGGTGCACATTTTAGAGTTAAACTATAATTTATTAAAACAATCAATCCATTAATGATTATTATAAAACAAAAATACATTTCGATGCGAGAAGTGGAATGATAAATTGTTGATTATAATAATTGTATAATGAAATGTATTGAAAATAATTTTTGAATACACAAACAGACAATAGGTAATGATTAATAACTTACAGCGATGCAAGTAGTGGAATGATAATTTAAATGAATTATAATTACAATTATGAAATCTGTTTAATGTAGAAGAAACATTTTATACTCCTCTAAATGTTGTGTATTAATTATTTTTTTTTTTATTTAATAGTCAGATAATTACCATGTTAGACTTATGTGTTAAATTATTGATGTTAATGTGTCATTAAATACTAAAAAGTTAGTTATTAAAGATTGTATGTACTATTTTGAGTTAAACCCTACTTTATTATTATGTTCAATACATTAATGATTATCATAAAAGAAAATACATTTCGATGCGAGAAGTGGAATGATAAATCCTTGATTTAAATAATAGTATGATGAAATTTATTGAAAATAATTTTTAAATACACAAACAGACAAGAGTTAATGATTAATAACTTACAGCGATGCAAGTAGTGGAATGATAGTTTAAATGAATTATAATTACAATTATGAAATCTGTTTATTGTAGAAGAAACATTTTATACTCCTCTAAATTTCATGTATTAATTATTTTTTTTTATTTAATAGTCAGATAATTACCATGTTAGACTTATGTGTTAAATTATTGATGTTAATGTGTCATTAAATACTAAAAAGTTAGTTATTAGAGATTGGCTGTACTATTTTTAGTTAAATCCTACTTTATTATTATGTTCAATACATTAATGATTATCATAAAAGAAAATACATTTCGATGCGAGAAGTGGAATGATAAATTCTTGATTTAAATAATAGTATGATGAAATTTATTGAATAATAGTTCTGGTATACACAAACAGACAAGAGTTAATGATTAATAACTTACAGCGATGCAAGTAGTGAAATTATAATTTAAATTATGAAATATGTTTATTGTAGAACATTTTATTCTCCTCATAATTTTAGCAAAAGAAATAAAATACAATTTCATAATAACTATTTCTTTTTCATCCAATATTTATAAATAAATTATGTTTAAGTTTTATGTGTTAAATGATAGATGTTAAGGATTAATATTTAAATGTTGGTAAACAACTCAGGTGTACATTTTGGAGTTATACTTTAATTTATTATAAAGCTCAATCCATTAATGATTATTATAAAACAAAAATACATTTCGATGCGAGAAGTGGAATGATAAATTGTTGATTAAAATAATTGTATGATGAAATGTATTGAAAATAATTTTTGAATATACAAACAGACAACAGTTAATGATTAATAACTTACAGCGATGCAAGTAGTGGAATGATAATTTAAATGAATTATAATTAAAATAAAATAAAATCTGGTATGTGTAAAGGAAAAGTTGAATCTTTAAGTTCTTCTTAATTTTGGAAAAAAATTGAATAACATAATATAACCTACATAAGATTATTATTTCTTTTTATCCAATAATTCTTTTACTTATATTTTAGATTAATTTGTTAAAACTTAAAAATTATGGTTTCTATTAATACTTTGACAGTTATATAATTTATGTACTGCTTTAATTGATTCAAAATGTATTCTTTTACATTTTATATGGTGTTCAATATGTTTATGATTATTAAAAACAAATCATTTCGATGCGAGAAGTGGAATGATTAAATTTTGATTAAAACAATTATACAATGAAATATATTGAATTGTTTTACATATCATCAATTCATAGATTAATTTATATTTATTATTTACCTATATAGTGAAGTCTAAAAATGTATTAAATGCATATGGTTTTACATAATAAAGTTAAGTGATATTTTATAGCAATATAATTGCAATTTAGTTTTGTTAATAGGTTTTGTGAAATACATTCATTTTAAATTAATTACTGAATTGTATATTCCATTCTTAGCTCTTAATAAAATAAAAACATTATTCTTTAAAAATAAATAGTTAACAGTATTAAAGATTAAATCAAATTATACTGATATTTTTTTATTTTGTATTCGTTTTAAGTTTTTTTTTAAATACAATTAGAATATTTTATATCAGCATTTACTATTTAGTATTTTCTGACTTAAGATTAATTTTATATTAAATTTTGATGTACTCATCAACATTTTTCAATTTATTAATGATTTTATAAATATTATATATACTTCGATGCGAGAAGTGGAATGATTTATTTTTTTGATTATAATCAATATGATGAAATAAATTGAACTCCTATATTTGGAAATGCAAACGTTTAATATTAATAAACTATTTAACATTACCATATAAATAGGGGCATGATAGTTTAAATTAATTAAATTATGAATCTGTTCTGTAGGTATAAGTAAAAAAAAAAAATAACAAAAGTTTAACTTGACTGATATAACTAAAGTAAATCATATCATAACTACTATAAAATTAATAAAAACTGTACTATTTTTGTTTCAGAAAGAAATATGTCAACTTTCATTAAAAATGCTTGAAATATCAACCCTCATTAGAAGATTTGTTCAATAGAACATAAATATTATCCATCTCTTTCAACTTTCAAGAGTTGTGGTTTTCTTAATCTTTTATATACAATCTGTGTATGTATAAAAATAAAAGAAAAATCATAATATTTTTCTTTTTTTTATATTCTTTTTTTTTTTTTTTTTTGCCCGTGTATATAGTAGTATTTAGGTCGTATTTTAACGAATATAAAATTAATCCTGATCCTGATCTTTTTTTGTCATAATTGTTTTTAGTCGAGGTATACACTATAATATGTTATATACATGTATTATTTTATATTCATAATATTGACTCTTGCATAGCAATGTTTAATTG